TCCTCTGAGAAATAACAATTCTTGAGCTAGATTGAGCCACTTTGATACCAAGGAAGTATCTAAGTAATCCCAAATCTTTGGTCTAGAAGTGGTGGAACAAGTGTCTTCAATTATTTAATGCCATCCTGATCACTTCCCGTAATGACAATATCATCGACATAGACAACCAGATATATGCATTGCTTTGATGAGTTATGTTTATAGAAAACAGAGTGATTAGACTCACATCGAATCATCCCAAACTCTTGAATGACATTACTGAATCGTCCAAACTAGGCACGAGGGAACTGTTTTAAACCATACAGAGAGTGACGAAATTTACATACCAAGGCAAACTCCCCTGAGCAACAAAGCCAGGCGGTTGCTCCATATAGATTTCTTTCTGAAGCAACCAGATATATGCATTGCCCTGATGAGTTATGTTTATAGAAAATAGAGTGATTAGACTCACACCGAATCATCCCAAACTCTTGAATGACATTATTGAATTGTCCAAACTGGGCACGAGGGGACTGTTTTAAACCATACAGAGAGCGACGAAGTTTACATACCAAGGCATACTCCCCCTGAGCAACAAAGCCAGGCGGTTGCTCCATATAGATTTCTTCCTGAAGCTAACCATGAAGAAAGACATTCTTAATGTCTAATTGGTACAGAGGCTAGTGGCGGAGAGCAGCCATAGATAAAAACAAGCGGACAGAAGACATCTTAGCCATAGGAGAAAAGGTCTCATAATAATTCAACCCATAATTATGAGTATACCCTTTTGCAACCAACCGTGCCTTCAGTCGATCAACCTGACCATCTGGGCCAACCTTGATAGTATAAATCCAAGGACAACCAACAGGCGATTGGTCGGGAGGCAAAAGAACTAATTCCCAAGTATTATTATGATGTAAAACAGTCATCTCTTCAACCATAGCTTGACACCAGCTAGGATCAGTCAGTGCCTCACGAACATTAGAAGGAACAGAAATAGAAGAAATGGTTGACACAAAAGCATAATATGATGGAGATAAGCGATGATAACTAAGAAAATTATAGATCGGATGAGGGTTGCGAGTGGACCGCATACCTTTACAAATTGCAATGGGAAATTGGTCTTCAGGAGGTAGGGCCGCAGTAGGAGAGGAATATGACATAGGAGGATTAGGAACAAGAGCCTCAGGAACATTGTCAAGAACAGTGTCAGTAGTCGTACTCTGAACAATAGCATCATCTAGAGGAGGAGACTCGCCCATAGGGGTAGGATTTGGAGGAATAGTAACAGACTCTGCAGGATGATTATAAGTAGACTCAATGTAGGGTATAGGAAGGACAGTGGTGATAGGATCGCTGTCGGGTGTAGAAAAGAAAGGAGAAGACTCAAAAAAAGGTAATATCGGCGGATGGAAAGTGTTGACGAGTGAATGGAGAATAACACCTATAACCCTTTTGAAGTCTTGAATATCCTAAGAAAATACACTTGGTAGATTTGGCAGACAGTTTGTTGGTAACTGGGAAAAGGATATGGATAAAACATGTGCAACCAAAGATACGTGAAGGAAGAGAGTATAACTGTTGATTAGGAAACAAAATAGAATGAGGGACCTGGTTTTGTAGGACAGAAGAAGGCATCCAATTAATTAAGAAATAGGTAGTTAACACAACGTCTGTCTAGAACTGGAAAGGAACCTGATTGTGTAAAAGCAGGGTTCGGGTAGGTTTAATCAAATGTCTATTCTTACGCTCAGCAACTCCATTTTGTTGTGGAGTATAAACTCAAGAGGATTCATGGAGAATTCCTTGAGATGACATGAATTTGGTAAAGTTAGCAGAAAAATATTCACGAGCATTATTACTCCGAAACACACGAATAACAACATTAAATTGTGTCTTAATTTCAGCACAAAAGGATTCAAATATAGAAAATAATTCAGAATGACTTTTCATTAAAAATAACTAAGTGCAACGAGAATAATCGTCAATAAACGTAAGAAAATACTGAAATTTTAAAATGGACGAGACTCGACAAGGACCCCAAACATCAGAATGAACTAACTGAGCGATGGAAGCAACATATGAAGAAGATTGCTTATTTGCCTGGAATTGGGGATATTCGTCATAATCAGCACCCGTAAGAGTCAAGGATGGCTGACTTGGTTCTTCAGAAGATTCAGAGTGATGATTAGGATAAGCGATATTGGCAACCCGAGGAGGACGCCTATGTAATTTGTAGCATTTTTCCCGGATATGCCCCCACCTATGATAATAACTACACTTGGGTTGACCTCCCCTGCCACTACGATCCCCATGTTCTCCTTTAACAAAAGTTTGAGATTGAGAGGTCAGGACAGAAGAATCAACTAGGGAAGATCCAACCACAACACCAGGGGAGGAGACTTGAAGTAATCGAGCAAAAACTTCATCAAGAGAAGGCACAGTAGCACTTGTCAGAATCTGATCTCGTACTGGAGTGAGAGCAGAATTGATAGCGGCAAGAGTAAGAACCATAAAGAATTTGTCTCATTGTGCCAGATCTTCTGCTTCAGACTTGCCAGCGGGTAATAACAAATTAAATTCTGCCTTGAGAGAGGTCATCTTGCCAAGAAAGTCAGACATGCCCATATCTTGCTTTGAGATTAACCAAATTGGACACAACAAAATAGAGTGTTTGGATATCATTAGTATAAAGCAATTTGGCCTGTCGCCATACCTCAAAACAGGTTCGATATATTTTATAATTAGAATGAAGGTGAGGGTCAATAGATTGCCATAATAAACCACATACCAAAGCATCTGTTTTTACCTAGGTAGTCTTATCATCTGTGACATCTTTAGCCTTAGTGGTCAAGTGATCCTCCAAACCATGTCCCATACACCATAGTTCAACAGAGGCAGCCCATGAGGAATAATTGGAGTTGCCTATTAATTTTTCAGTTGTGATCAAAGGAAAAGACAAAAAAGAAACAGAACTTGATTTGGTGTTGGATCCTTCAAGGAGCATGATTGTCTTGTGGGAGAGATTGAACTGATCTGGGCTGAAAAACAAAACTAATTTTGGGCAGATTGGAAAAAGAGGATATTTCGGCTGTAGTGGGCTATTTCCGGCGCCGGTGATGACAATGCAACTTCGGACGGTGATGGGTGTGCTCGCTGGCGGTGTCTGAGTGCACAAGTGTTGGCAGTGAGACCTCTTGTTCACTGGGGAAGGAGATCGGAGAAGAAGATGCCAGAAAGAAGACCGGTGCGTGCAGCGGTGACTAGCGATGAAATTTTCAGGTTTTGCCGGCGAGGAGAAGACGAACAGGCTGGTGTGGTTAGAAGAGTGATTCAACACCAGAAGGAGATAGCCTAAACTTCGTCGGAAAATATTGCCAGAAAAAGAAAAGAAATTTTTTCTAGGGTTTCTGATTTCTTAGCTCTGATACCATGTGAAATTAGAAGAATTTTCTTCATATTGATTGTGAACAAAATACAACAATATATACACATTCAACAGTCCATATAAGGAAATGAAATAATCTAAACTAGGAAAGGGAATGATCTAATTTCTTATTCCTAAAACATTTGATTTGTACAACTCAACAGTGGGTCAGGATCATCTAAAATTACAATGTGTTAAAATATACTTGCTTTCTGATTACTCAGATAACCTTCTTTTCTTTACATCTCAAAGCTGCAACTTTCTCTTTGTTTTAGAGGTTTTCTTGTTTGGATGTTGTGCTAGTAAAAGAGGGTTCCTGGGTATTTCGCAGAATAATTTTTCCTTATATACTAGAAGTCCTATAGCTTTCCTTGCGTGCATATGAATTTTCTTCTGAGTTTTCTCTAAAAACATGTTAACCTTTTAAAATCTTTGGTTAAAGTGATTGTTTATTCATTATGATTTTCAATGATTCTTGAAATTATTAAAAGTGGGCTGTCAGTTGAAGCATTTGAGCTATATCTGATTATACCTTGTTAGCTGATTGAGTGGAATTTTGATTTTCAATGATTCTTGAAAGTATGAAAAGTGCTCCTTCCTTTCCAGAAAAAGCCAGTTTCAAAATATATTTTCTGAATCACGTCTTAATTCTGGTAGATCTATTAAGTGATGTTAATGATTTTGGGTATATTTCACAGGATGGTGAGGATGACAATGATGATGATGGACCTCGTGAAGTAGATATGGAAGGAAGGGTTGAAAAATACATTGGTGTTAAAGTGAAGGCATGTACTTCTTTATGGAAGCATTATATATATATATATATGAAGCACTTGGAATGGCATTCCCCAGAAATATCAAAGCAATTCTAGTATTTGTTATTTACAATATATTGTTTAATATTTTATAGTTAATTTGGGTCAGGGGAGCTATTGTCATCATCATTTTGGTTATGAGTTCAAGTTTTAATTATTTTATTTTGCTTTTGGTGTCGTAGGTTTCGTTTACTGGACAAGGGGAGACACAGTCAATGAAGCAATTGTCCGGAGGTCAGAAAACTGTTGTGGCTCTGACGCTTATTTTTGCCATACAGCGATGTGATCCTGCTCCCTTCTATCTATTTGATGAAATAGATGCAGCACTGGATCCTCAGTACAGAACTGCAGTTGGAAGTATCCTTCTCATTATATGCATTGTTCCTCTCTAGTTTAATGGTTTTTTTCCCTTGGTTTTTGCTTTTGTTATTTTATTTCTGTAGAAATTTTAGTTTAGATTAGGCTTTAAATCTCTATCCTTTTTCATTTGGTCAAACATGCAATTGAATTTTTCCTTATGATTAGTTCATAAGACCAATGATAATTATTAATGATAGTTATTAAAGCCTGCATCACCCCCTGGCTTAGCGCATACCGAGTCATTTGTGGTTTTCAATAGTGGCAGTTAGAATATACCTATGACGTGGCATGCACCACTTGCTTATATTTGGGCTCATAGTGTTGCATATATCTGTGAGTTACGAGTTCTGTGTTTCTGGGTCACTAGGAAGGACAAATTCTGGGACATTACAGAATCATTAGGTGTCAATCATAGCTGAAGAGAGTACAAATACTGACTTATGACTTTTCTATTTGATGCAGTCAATAGCTCTTACTTGAGATTTGCAGTATACTGTGTGATTTATTGCTTAATAATTATCTTTAAGGATTGCTTTAAATTTTGTGAGTTTATGCATGCAGCATAGAGATCTTAATAGTGTTGAAGATTTTTTGGATAGTTATTTGAGTGGGATAAGAACTGCCTATGGAGGCATTGAGATTATTAAAGAAGGAAGCTGAGGGCTGCATTGTGCTGATATTTTCTGCATTGGATTTTGGTTATCTTGTGGAGATCCTTAATCATTTAATACAGATATGATTCGTCGTCTAGCAGACATGGCAAATACTCAATTTATAACAACAACATTTCGGCCAGAGCTTGTGAAAGTGGCTGACAAAATATATGGTGTGACACACAAAAACAGAGTGAGCCGAGTCAATGTTGTCGCCAAAGAAGACGCCTTAGATTTTATTGAGCATGATCAGTCTCACAATACACCTTAGTTTAAGGTGAGAACCTTACACAAATTATTTCATCTTTAGATATATAAAAAGATTGGATGCTTTTGTGAGTTTTTGATTGTGTTAAAGAAGTTAATGTGGGTTTTAGGTTGCTCTTTTTAAAATAATGCTATGAAACGCTAGCTATTTGTGTTTGAATATAATATATGTTTGTTGGTTTTTGCAGGAGATAAATTTGGATGATGCATTTGTTAGTTATGTGTAAGAATGATGGGGTGAAGCATTGTGTTGAGTTGGTTGGTTCTTGTGTTTTATATTTATAGGTTAACTAGAGGAATGACAGGGCTGTATATGTTTTACCTGATTTCTAGTATTTTCTTACAAGCCGTATTAACCTTTTAGTGACGATTAGAAGGATTTGGATCTTTTTATTTAATGTATTCATATAATTTTGTGTGGACTTGATTGGTACAAATAAATAAATAATAGATGAATGCTAAGGATTTTACCTTTTTTTTCAAGTGTTTCTTCCAGCTGATGTCACTTTGTATCCCTCTTTGTATGAGTCTTTGTAAGGATAACATTTTTCTTGAAAGAATGGGAGAATTTATAGGAATTTATTAAACTAATAATGTAGATAGGGGATTAGGGGAACAACTGTCTTATTCAAAAAATCCATGTAGGCAATAAGATTCTAAATTTATATCCTAATCTTTGTGGTAGTTGGATTTGGTAGCATCTCTAAAATTATAGGATGATTTGGTATGTGAATTCACTTAATCAATTACAACATAAATTGGGATACAAATTTAGGATTTTATCTTTGTATGTGCAACATTACTCTTAGAAAAATCACTATTTCAGATATGTTTTTTTCTGACGAAATTTTTTATTGTAAATCATATGGGCAATGAGAACTTTTTTTTTCAGTTTGTCACATAATCACCTTCTTATATGCCTATTTAGGCGACCAAAGGACTTATATAGTACATTCATGCAAAGGACAAACTCTTATGAATAGTTGAAAAAAAGAAGTAAATCTAACATAGATTTAGTTTGTTGTTTTTTGTAATAAAATAATTAGAATGTTTAGGGTAGTTTCGTATGTCTAATTAATTCTTAGGATTTATTGAATACTTTATAAACTTAATGGATCAAGTAAGTCACAAATATGATGGGTGATCACTCTGTGAAATTCAAATACAGATCTCTAGATAACCTACTTAAAAGTCTTGCCATCCAACCATACATAAAGTGGTTAATATATTGTTTGCTTCAAACTCATAAAACTCTTATTTTTGCATTTGGGTTTATCGAACACACTATATGAGTTACAAAGAAGGAGACTTTTAAGAGTTGTTGACAAAGTCTTTGTCATCAGTTACCAACCATATACGTATAAGCATCACTTTCAATATTAATACCCCACTAGTTCTTAATATTTACCTTTCGTTTTCTTTTTCTCCGAATTAAAACCAAGATGGTGATGGTCAACATCTTCAGTCAGGTAAATGTACCATTAGAGAACTTAAAATTCTCTTCTGGATTTATTTTTGCCAAGATTCTCTGCATTCTTTTCTTGACTTTTGATCAAATGCTGCCACGATAATTGTCTTTACTGTTAAATACAAATTGGTAAATTTTTGTTCAGCTCTAGGTTTAGCATAACTAACATTGGTCCCAAAAAAATTCTATGTGTTACTATCAGTTCAGTCCGTTACAACTTATAGCTTTAATTTAATTGTATAAGAGCTCTTTTATCTTTTGATATATTAGAAACTCAAAAATTTTAACTTATGAAATCATCATATAACAATGAAAAACCTAAACGAATAAAAGACTCACTAATAAATGACTGATCAATTGCCCGAACTTGGCTTAATATAATTTGTGTAATCATTTGTTGTTTTGAATATGGATTCATGATTTTGGTGTATGAATAGGTTTATAAGTTCTGGGTTACTTTTATATACTCTATGAGATTCACTGATATTAATGCACATATGATTATCATAAATTTTGGGCTTTAAAACTTTTACCATAGATTTTAACAAGAAATAAACTCCTTTAGGGAACAAAGTATTAATACAAAATTTCTATAAAGAAGAGTGTTATGCCTGAAAAATATAGGGCTAACGTAAGGCCCAGTCAGCATGCAGAAGTCAGAACATGGGTACACCCGCAGCCTGCTTCTGTCAGAAGAGTTGGTGCGCGCCAGACCAGCCAGGAGCCGTGGTGATCCCACGTGTCCAATCCCTGCGCCAAATCGCGTAAATCACTCTAGAAGGTGGGCAATGTGACATAAAAAAGGATTTGCCCGGATAATTCCACCAACTCACAGATCTAGTAATCATTAGCTCAATGCATCCCGCTATAAATTGAGAGTTCCGCTCATTTTTACTCTTGATTGGCTATTCTCTCTGTAATACAAAAGCATTCTCTTTCTTGTACTATCACTTGAAGGTCAGTCAGCTCACGTGACCTGACCCCTATCATTAATAATATAACAGTGGACTTAGGACTTGCTTCCTTAGCATCTGAACCACTTTAAAAACGCTTTACTCATTGCATTTATTCTCTTTTTCTTGCATTCATGTGTGTCTTTTGAGCCAGCTCAGCATTGCACACGTGCGTTTAGTTGGTGTAAAAATCACGCATCAACAGTTTGGCGCTGGAAGGAGGGCCTGATTTAGTGTTCATCCTTCATCAGGAAAATCTCTAACTTAACGGTCCTACAACAGCAAATGGCCCGCCAACCTGAACCTGAGCAAACCAACCAGGGTGCTGAGGGGATTCCCCAAGTTCAAGGGGACGCCTCTTCCAAAATACCTTCTGTCCCGTAAAATGCTACAGGGGATATCCCTTCAAGTTCACAACTGGACCCTGTCATTAGAAGCTACCTGGAGAGGTTTGACAATACTCTCCAGACGGTCAACTGAAGGTTAGACCGTTTGGACCAAGGCGTGCCATCCAGATCAGCTGGGGCGGTGCAACCGCCAAAAACGCTTGCAGGTCACGCCAAAGCACGGCAACGGGAAATAGCCCGTGCCGCGAGCACTGCAGTGCGTCGATGAAAGGGGAAGCAAGTGGCAAAAAAGGGGCCTACGGGCTCCAAAGGGCCAGCAAACACTGACCGCGCCCTAAGCAGAATACTGGTCTCGTTAAGACTCAGTGAAAGGACGCAGCCTGAGCTGTCCCATGCCACGTCGCAAGTACACCCCCATAAAAGTGCTGGACAGGGCGATTCTTATCACCGCCAGCAAAACGATCCAGATCGTCATCGTGCGAGAGGTTCCCATACTTCGTGGGGCGGTTTTTACCATTGCGAAGGTCGTGAAAATACCTTGCACCATTCGTCACCATCACACGCCTCTAGCCAGCGTGTGTCGAGAGTGGCCGGAATCGTTGGCCGAGGCGAAGAGGAACCCAACCTCCGGATTCTCCTCAACTGTAATCGTGAGGTTCGAACTCGCATGGGTGAAAGCAATCCCCAAGGGGCTCCATTGCCACAAATTGAGGAGCTGCAACAAGCTTTAGACCGACTAAGAGCTCAGCAAAATGAGCAAGGGCAGGTCGCATCTACGTCCCCCTTCTCTCCCAAAGTGCTAGCCGCTCCACTCCCACCAGGATTCAGGATGCCTGACATGCCGGCGTTCGATCGAAATTCTGATCCGTAGGATCATTTATATGAATTCAACGACCTGATGGAGCTTTACCAGGTCTCAGATTTGGCAAAATGCCGTTGTTTGGCAGTCACTTTAACCTCTCATGCCAAACGGTGGTTCAGGTCGCTCCCAGCGGGATCAATCAGTTCGTGGCCTCAGATAAGCGCGACGTTCCTAAGACATTTTCAAGCAAACCGAAAGTTCTCGATGCTGTTCGGACTCTCATCATAGAGGGAGTTCGTCCACAAACCGACCTGTGGAAAGAACTACAGGTTGAGGATGATGTTTCCCTCATAGAATTCTATAACCTTGCGGAGAAGTACCTCCGGATAGAAAATTCATTGGTGCCGCTCCACCGTCGCGACCCCGACGCTTTAGGCAGTCGTCTGGTCGGGGGGAAAGTAGAAGAGCTAATCGCGGAAGGGTCGTTGACGATCAGCGAAAAGGAAAGAAACCTCGCTATGAGCCCAAAAAGTCTTATGCTCCTGTCCCTCATCGCGATCGCGACAGAGACCAATATACGCCTCTGAATCCATCCATATCGGCTATTCTTGATAAATCAGAAGAAGCCAGCCTGCTCGGAGAGCCCGAACCCATGAAAACTTCTGCGACAGCCAGAAACAATAAAAAGTACTGTCGCTTTCATCGGGATAACGGGCATCACAATAATGAGTGCCGAGCTCTCAAGCAGGCAATCGAAGAGCTCATCAAGAAGGGGCATTTCAAGGAGTATATTGACGACTCCGCTCCCGCATAAGAGAAAAGTCAAGGGGAGCAAGGAAAGAAGCGTCGTGATCGCACAGGGTATTGCAGCGTCAACCTAATCTTTGGGGCACCGCACCTCGCGGGGAACACGCGAGGTGCCCAGGAAAGATATGCTCATGTGGCTTATCATGACCCAATCAGTGTGATGAGCACGTCGCAGCGACCACAAAAGGTTCGCAAGGAGGAGCCAATTACCTTTTCCGAGAAGGATGCATCCCATCTGTATCATCCCCACGATGACGCACTTGTGATCATGCCCCTCATAGGGCACCATAACGTCTGCAAGATGCTAGTGGACAACAGAAGCGCTGTGAACATCCTGTTCCAAAGTGCTTTCGAAAGAATGAACTTGGACGAGGTCGACCTGAAGCCCGCCTCGATCCCTCTTTATGGTTTTACAGGGGACCACCTGATCCCCAAAGGAACGATCCAACTTCTAGTCACGCTGGGTGACTATGACGAAGTGACTAAGGTTACTGAGTTCCTGGTCGTGGATTGCCCATCTACCTTCAATGGAATCCTAGGGCGACCTCTACTAAGAAGCTTCAAGGCAGTCACTTCGATATACCATTTGAAGATGAAGTTCCCCACCCCGACAGGATAAGGAAAGTTAGCGGATCGCAACACGTATCTCGCGACTGTTACATAAAAGCAGTGCAGATGGCGGGCAAAGGGAATGGTATTTCGCCTAGCATTCCTCGACAGGCTATGGTGATCAGCCAGATCGAGCCACAGCCTGGTCCAACCGAGGATAACATGGATCCTTGAATTCAGGAAAGCCCTTTCAGTGGGCCAGTTGAGGATTTATCCGAGGTATCGGTCGACCAGAAGGAGCCGAGCCGAGTCTTAAGGATTGGGAGCAATCTTAAACCCCAGCTCGCCTCCGAGCTGATCAGCTTCCTAAAAGAAAATATCAATGTGTTCGCCTGGTCGCACGCAGATATGGTCGGGATCAGCCCGGATATCATCTCCCATGCGTTGAACATCGACAGCGAAGCTAAGCCAAGCCAGTTCGCCAAAAAAGAAGAGCAATGGATCCGGAGCGGTATGCCGCCTTAAAGCTAGAGGTGGATAACCT